TAGTGGGACGGGGATTCGAACCCACGACCCGCAGATTACGAGTGAAGCGCCATAACCACCTGAGTGTACACTAATTTCAAGCCTTAGTCTTCATCATATTATTACATCGCCCAGGCACATGAGGTATAATTCAGAATACTTAACCCTCCAATTACTAACTTGTTACTACACCGTTCACTATAGCAGGTGTGTATAGTGTATTCAATTTTTACTTGCTACAACACTCAGTGTAAAAGCTGATTATTAAATCAATCGTTTTTTTTTTATAATAAAGTTAGAAGAAAAAAAAACGTCGTTTACATTCCAGATAATTATAAGATATATTTTAGTTCAACCGACTTTTCGCCTTTAAGGCTTCTTCAGGGCTGGTACATAAAAACGTCTATCCTGAATCTTAGAAGTCTCTGATCTGGCCGTTTAGACAAATCCACAAAAGGTACTTTTCACGTTGAAAACTTCTTTTCCATTCAATTAAAAAAAGCCGCAAAGGCTAAACGTCGGTTGAAATAAAAGTTATCCTATAATTATCTGGTGTGTAAAGGTCGTTTTTTTTTCTCCTAATTTTATTACCAAATTGTGTAAATCCCACTAGTACGCACTACAAATTCTGAAAGACATTCATTTTTTGTTTGTTTTTTGTGTATATGAACAAAAGACCAAAGTCCGGGCACGCTAATATCTAGGCCACACCTGGTCCATGTAAAAAAAGGGAGAAAAAAAGATTAAATTAGATAAGTTTGAGCGGTCGTTTAGGCTAAAATAAAATAGTTGATTTTTACTAATCTCCATTAAGTATTTGACGTGTTTTTTGTTTTGTTGAAATAATAATAGTTAGAAAAATAGTACCACGTACAGCAAGTAAGTTTGTTTGTAATTAAGCACAAAGCTACAAAATGGGCTAGCTGTGCTCTGCCCATCACGGGTATCGAAACCCGGATTCTAGCGTTGTAAGTCCTCAGACATGCCGCTGTGTCACTGGGGGGCCAGCAAGTAAGAAATAATATAAAACAAATGGATTTAGTTTGCAGTTAATATATATATTTATTAGCTCTCCAGGACTGCCATGTTATATCTGAAAGTTAAGAAACTAGTGACTCAATATCGTGCACATTCAGTATTATTTGATTGGTCAATAACCAAGAGAGGCGGAATCACAAGTGTAAAGTCAGCTTTTATAACGAATCACAATTCAGTATGTGCTTAATAAAACTAAACGGTTAATGGTTTTATCCAATGAGCAGACTAAATACAATATTATTTAGATTACTTCCTGCGCACGAGAATCAAGCATCTGGCGCGTTAAAAAAAACCAATGCTGGATTTTGCTTCGCTTTTTTTTTCTTTTTTTTGCTGACTCTGACTTTTAACAAAAGGGCGTGTTTGGGCCAGAAATGTTTAATTGCATCTCTTTAGACGAGAAGAACGTTAGGAGTTGATTAAAAGTAAGACGGCGTTTCCCAAACTTTTGTCATCCACTCCCCACCCCCTTAATAAATACTGTTTCTTGCGTCCCCTCTCTTTTTTTTTTTTTTTTTTT